GGAAGAGGAGGCAGACGACTGATGAGGGGACTAAATCGGTTCGTTTTTCACACATTGCCTGGCGGCGAACCCCTCTTGCCTGTGGTCGCCACAGTAGACTCGATATGATACGAGAACGGACACTACAGGCAAAGTTGGCTGGCTTCACGAGACCAATGGCTTCGATGCTTTTTCGCTGCACGGCGGTCGGACATAAGTCTTCGCCCCCACCCTTCAACTACATGAAGGTTTGCTAACGCTCATTACAAATCACGGCTACCTTGTCTTGTGGCTTGGAATGCGGTATGAATGCTAGTCAGCGAAGGATGGTGGCCTAATAGCAACTGCATAAATAGTTGTCGTCATCTTACCAGGACGAAACGCCCACAGAACAACTCGAACTCCTCGAAGACTACTGAAGCGGCCACTCGATCAAGATTGTTTGCTTCTACTCCTTTTCAATGGACGAATTTGAGCAATACCTCGAGAAGGCGACTGCCAAAGGCTCCGACATTGTGCCCGGAGCGGTGATGGCTGTCGTCGATAAGGATGGTACTTTCCCCATACTATCTCCAAATATATGTATCTCACACGCGCTGCAGGCAAATTCATCTACAAGAAGACCGCAGGTTACAATGGCGTCATTGAAGATGCGGAGCCTATGGACTTCGATCGAACCTTCTTCATTGCATCCTGCACAAAGCTCATCACCGCTATTGCTGCCCTGCAGTGCGTTCAACACGGTTTAGTCACGCTAGATGAACCAGTCGATCAGTACCTACCAGAACTGGCTTCCCAACCCATCGTTCAGATAGACGGCTCCGAGATCAAAGTGCATCCAGCCACGAAGTCCATCACCCTGCGTCAACTTATCACGCATTCCAGTGGCACGACGTACGGTAAGTGTTTCTAGATGGACATCAGAAAGCATAGACTAATTTCGCCAACTTGTAGACTGGGCTTCTCCAAGTCTTTATGCGTGGCGAGCCTCACGTGGCGAACTGCCCGCGCTGATAACCGATGGCAACGTGGCTGAGAAGTATGCCTATCCACGGACCTTCGAAGCTGGAGAAGGCTGGGAATACAGCGGTGGTTTCGATTGGACCAGTTTGCTCATCACACGTTTGACCAACATGAGCTTCGAAGAATATGTCGAAACCAACATTGCAAAGCCTCTCGGTATAACTTCATTTACCTGGCATCTCAATCGCAAGCCCGCAGTGGAAGAAAAGCTGATGCGCACGAGCACTCGGCAAGACGACGGCAGTCTCACAGATGGCCCAACACCCTTTTGGTCTGGCGACCCCGTTGGAGAAGGTGGTGGAGCGGGCTTGTACGCCAATGTGTACGACTACACGCACGTGCTTTCCGATCTCCTCAAACCCTCGCCTACCATCCTCTCCAAAACCATGGTCGACGCCATGTTCAGCCCGCAGTTTGCCGAAGACAGTCTCGCGGCCAAGGCACTCGTCGATAACGCTGAGCTTGCTTATACTTGTACGCTGGATGCCAGTATGGAAGGCGTCAAGCCGAACTTCGGACTGGGTAGCCTGTTGTTGATGGAAGATGTGGATCGAGAGAACTACTTCAAGCCAAAGGGTACGTTGTGCTGGTCAGGACTTCCGAATCTACAGTGGAGTGTCAATCGTGAGAGGGGAATCGCGCTATTCTTTGCCACGCAGGTATCACCTTGGGCAGATCGCAAGACGTTCGATCTTGTCGCAAGGTTTGAGACGGCTGTTTGGTGAAACCTGAAAGCGTAGAGACGGCGGCAGTTTATAATTAGCAAGATGATTGGTCTTTTCGCAGTGTGCTTTTGCTATGCATGCATTGATGTCTGCAACGCTCGAGCTTATTTAGTTGAGTCTGTGCGCTACTGCGGGGGTATAGGTAAACGTGGAAGTGACTACCTAGGGAAGTTTCCAGTGGCGTTAGTTCTCAGACTCGCACGTCCGCCCTTCCTCACCACCGATACTACACCACGACCGACCCACCAATATCGCAATGACTACCAAAGCACCAAACATGCCTCTCATCGAGACAGGCTTGCCAAAGGATCCTGCTGCTCCAGGTACCGATGCAGATCAGCCTTCTGTTACGGGCGAAAATCTCCTCAAGATGGTATGTTCCAGAAATGTGAACTGAGTGGTTGCATTGCTAACTATTGGAAGGTTTGCAATGAGACTGGCGATGCCCGCTACTGCTCCTCTACGCGCCAATCGAAGAAAAGAAAGACAGGCCAGATAACTTCACCCCCACTCGACGATACCGACGAGCCGTCGCACGCTGCGCACGACCAAATGAAGGCTTCAGTCACCAGCTATACTGGATCCAATACCTTTGCGTTCATGCGATTGCCCGCCGATATACGTCTTTGCGTCTATGATCAGCTGGTGGCCATGTCAGTAGCTCGATCACTTGTCGGGTCTCACTTCCAAATATATCACGCGAAGCCTTCTGTAGGCATACTGAGAGTCAGTCGACTAGTTCGCGAAGAAGCCTACCCCATCATAGAGCGCGGTCGTTTGAAGAGAAGCCCATCATTAATCGTCAAGGTTCCTGCGAACAGCAGCCGAGCCGGTTTATCACAGTACCTATATCGGATCGCAGATTTGATGGGTGACCTTGCATACCGGTTCCGGAGAGCTAAGAAGGAGGATAATGAGCAGTATAGCACATCTAACGAAATGCATCCATCGACACTACTTAGTCTCCATCAGTGGATCGACGGAGTGTTCGTCAATGACTGGGAAGGCGCTACGGAACATCGCGACAACAAGGCTGCCACGTTCGAGTTCTTCAAGCGGGCGATCCCCACTTTGCGTCAAGGAACGTTCAATATGCACATCATGTTGCACGACAGCAATCTCGTTCTACGCCACCCCGTCGGTGACTGGTTTTCTCTTGCTAGAACATTGAACGCAGTTTCAGCCGAGTGTCCATCTCTTATTGATGAAATGCTTCAGGTCTCGGTACCGGCAGATTGCATTACATATATGCGGAATGTGCTCAACACACCTTGTGTCTATGGAAAACTCCTGTGCCCTGGGATGTGGAAAGTTGATGTGCTCAAAGGCGACACTCAACTACTGGGAAGCTGATGAGCAGTTTCTGGAAGAAGGAGCCTGGAAGGCTTTCTACTGGCAATCGGATCTTTCTGGATTACTTCCCTTTATTGTGGTACCTTTTGGTGGCAATTCGGTAGGGGCGTAGCCCAATATTCCAGTCAGATTTTGACTACTACAAGAGATATTAATGCACAATTCCCTACCAAAGACCTCCGTGTCAGCGCCACGTCTTCCTCTAAACCTTCGGAAGAACCTTCTTCAATACCTCAACCAATCCCTTGATCTCCTCCTCAGTGTTATAATGTACCATACTGACTCTCGTCACACCCTCCGGCTCCAGTTTCAGCAACTCGTCACAAAGCCTCTTTGAGTAGAAATGCCCCCACCTGAACCCGTAGTTACTAATCTTCTCCGCCTCAGCCACGATCGCCTTGCTGCTCATGCCCTTAACCGTGAACGAAATAGTTGGTACTCTTTCCTTGCTGTCGCTCGAAGTAGATCCCAGAATCGTGACATCTGGACGTGAGTTCAGGAAGTCGAGAAGGATAGCTTGAAGCTTTCCCTCATGCTCAGTGATGGCGGGGAAAGCGTCGGTGAGGTAAGCCGTGATGGTCGGAATGGACTGTACGCACTCGTAGTTTGAGCCTGCGAATCCGATCTTGTCTTCGAGGGTCTTCGTGGGGTTGAAGAAGTGGGCCAATGGTTTCATGTGCTGTTGGGCTGAGTTGCTTGCGTAGAGAGCGGCGACATGTGGGCCGTAGACCTGTGTCATTTTGTCAGTACCCGCTGACAAGGAAGTAGAGTAAATGCCGGACGAACCTTGTACCAACTGAATGCGTAGAAATCGACTCCAAAATCCTTCACATCAATCGCACGATGCGGCGCGTAGCTAACTCCATCCACGCAGAACAGCGCGCCAACCGAATGCACCGCCTCTGCAATAGACTTCACATCATGAATCGTCCCCAGAATGTTGCTCACGTGCGTGCATGCTACGAACTTCACTTTTTCGCTCAACAGCGGCTTGAGGTTCTCGGCTGTGAGTTTGAGTCCATCCTCCTTTGGAGACGCCCACCACTTCACAGTCAACCCAAGACGCTCAGCCATGAAAAGCCAGGGCTTCGCATTAGTCTCGTGCTCCATCTTTGAGAGGATGATTTCTGAGCCCGCAGGAAATTGCAAGGATGAGCCGAGGTTCATGAAGAGTTGTGTAGTTGAAGCACCGAGAACTGTTCATCGTCAGCAACAGGATGCCCAGGTGTGAATGAAACTGATGGTCTCGTTACCGATTTCATCGCGGCCAGCATGCATGTACTTTGCGGCTGCTTGGTAGCCCTCCTCGTACTTCGTGCTCGACTGCGTGCCGGTGTGGTATGAAGCGCCAAGCTGAACATTGGTCTTGGAGAGGTATTGCACTATTCTGTATCCATATCAGTCCTTATGTATACCCACGATCTGGAAATCCACCTACGAGTCAATCGCATCACCCAATGCCTGACTGCCGCCGGCGTTGTCAAGGAAGACCTGATCTTGCTGAAGTGCGGGGAAGCGCTCCCGAGCTTTTGAAATGTCGAACGTCATGATGCCAATCTCAAATTACGCTGGAGTGATAGGAGCAACAGATACAGTATTGAAGGTTTTAGGACTTTTGCTAAGATGTTGTATACCTATGATAACCGCCGGCACGCCCTACGCAGATAGTGCGGGGCTTTGCTCAATGCAGCAGGTGCTAACATCAAGCAGTGACGGCATTGCCTGCCCCACGTTACGCCAGTAACCACAACGCGCATTCTCGAGACCACAAAACTATTTTGTGAAATGAGTAAGATAAATTACCGGGAAGGGTGTCAATGCGACAGGGCGCCACACACTTGCAAGGCCATATTACCCCCCAGGTGTTGACAAACTCGATAGCTCCACCACGTTCGGCCCTTCTCCCGGAGCGACCGACTCTCAGTCCGCATCGGAGCGCACCTCGATGATATTTGGATGGGAGAATCCTTTGCCGAACCTCTTCCTATCAAGATAAACGGTACCTTGCGCCTGGAAGAACGCCAACAGAGTAGCCAAAGCCGACGTGTCAAGATCGCAGGGCCCTCCCTCACCGGACTCGAACTCATCGTCAAGCTCAATGCCATTCTCGTAGCCGTGGGACAGAAAAGGTCCACGGAAGTAGTTGCCTGCAGCTGGGCCCAGCCATTTGGTCAAACTCGGAGTGGTGGGCAGGTTCTCGTTCATGTAGTTGTCATGATAGTAGATACCGACCCGGTGCGAGGGTATGCGCTTGAGGGTGGGCCAGGTGTGGGATATGTGATTCAACATGTTGCGACCGAGGAAAGGCTCGCAGGATATTGATCCGAAGTCCTTGACGTTGGCGTATTCGATCCAGACGAAACGTGGCAAAGGCTCATCTCCGGGAAAGAGAAGACCGCGGAAGAAGGCTGCACCAGGTCGTGGCTCAAGACCTGCGAAGGACTTGCAAAGCATCTTGTGCATCTTCCAGTCTTTCTTCTGACAGGCGGTAGAGCAGTAGCGTGCGTTACTACAGGTGGAACAGCGTTGTTCAGCAGTCTGTTTGCAGACGAAGCAGGCATGGGGAGTCGTAGGCGGAGCTGGTGTCATATTGTCTGAGTTGGTGATCTTTGAGAAGGTAAAAAGGAGAGCAGTGGGTAGTATAGTAGAGATAAAGTTGTAATTCGTGAAAGACTGCTCACTTGCCCATGACCTTCTCATTTAATCATTGGCACGGACCCCAGGGCCGACTTTGTCTCTCACCTCGGCTTTCCACATATCCACTTGTTCTGTCCCAAATGAGTCGAAATGTCCCTCCAGGCGTCCAGTATCGGTTACCACACTACCTTTACCTTCCTCCAAGAACTTCCCCGTGACCTGCGCAGCGATCTTCAACAACTCTTCCGAAGGCACACCGTCCGTCTCGATATCCTTTTTGCCCGCGGCCGTAGAGAAGACGAAGCCAACAACAAACGGCAGGTTGCTTTTCTGTGCTTCCCACTGTTTTCCAGATTTGGCAGCAATGATGGGACTGAATCGTTCTTTCATCCTCCCCATCAACTCCCAGCAAAGGTCGTGCATGGTGAAGTAATCGAAGGTGATTTCTGGAGCCTCGGCGTGGAGAGCAGTGGCCAATTTCTGGATAATGTGGGATTGCCTTTGAATGGTAGGTGCGACAGCGGCGAGGGACGAATGATGGCTTGCGCCGTCTTTGATCGCGTCTTCAATGGCTTCGGCTGTGATGAGTCGTTCGTCGCCATTTGTTGCAATACGTGAAGCCATCCAGGCCGATACTGGACCCTTGAACTTCAATAAACGTGCGTTTGCTTTGGTCTCCTTGACCTTCGTGTTCCTCTTCGAAGTTGCCCAGTTCGTTGCTGAAGCACCAATAGCCATGAGATAGTTCTTCCAATGCCCCTCAAAGTCTTTGGGGGACTCTCCAATGAAGTAAGCCGAATTTCCCTGCATGTCCCACAGCGTCTGAAGATCCTTCCACTCTTCCGAAAGAAGCTCAGTCTGGCGCAGGGCATGGTATAATTGCGTTACGCACATGACCGCCCCGGGTGTTGCGGCGTACTTGACAGCTTCTCTGTGGAAGACGGTTCGTGCATAATGGATCCTGCAAGATTGGAGGTTCAAAGTCAGTATACGTCTCACATGTACATCGTACTATGAGGACTTACCAAAGACCACAATGTGTGGGGTTGCGACGCCACATGGTATAGTCCTTGTAGGGAGAAGTAAACGTCGCCCGGATAAGTGCGAGAGGATCGACCTTCATGATCTTTTCAATTGATTTGACCAATTTCCTCATGTCGGAAGAAGCTTTAGGGTAGACCTCAACGTATCTGTGAAGTGTAGTAAACTCGTTGCGCATCTGTGTCCAACCCGCACCAACCTCGGTAGAGTAGACAATGTCGAGATAAATTTGAAAAGCAAAGCACGTCCAGATTGGTGGTTGCTTATTTGTGTTTTCCCTTGCAAAGGACTTCCGCGCAGCATCGAAAGCGATGACAAACTGGTCCTCAACCACCATCGGATGATTGTGTAGCAAGGGAAGATCCTGGAACAGCTCTTGCAATGTGGACTTATCGCGGGCATACTTTTCCCTGTTCGTTCTAGGTGGTGGACCTTCATTTTCGTCGAATCGACCCCATTTGCCATTGTAGTCCATAATGTGCCCGTTCATGTTGTTGTTGAGGTAGACCAGAAGACCATAACGGGCGTTGACAAACAGGGCATCCGCGATGTCGTAGGCTTTGAAGTTGTAGTCGTCCGACCAGCAGAACCAGCCTTTCGCTTGGGGATCAGCGCCAGCTTCTTTGGCGATAGCCAAGAAGTACACCTCGTGGAATGGCACGCTTTCAACCAGATGCTTGATCACTGGGTAGACTTCATCTTCCATGCTGTGCGCAAGCTGGATTGCTGTGTTGGTCGCTACCGACACAGTTGCCAGGTCGAGTTCTCTCGCATGATGTCGACCCCACAGGTCTGCAATCTCAGCACGAAGGCGAGAGAGGTCATCCATCAACATGGTCATTGCCATAAAGGCTTCAATGACGGAGTCGTTCCACGATTCAGCAGTGTAGTCCAGTTCCACAGGCTTCGGCGGAGGTGCGACATCTGGTGCAGCGAGAAACTCCGCCGATGGCTCATACACATCCAAGACTTCGAAGATATTGCGAACTCTAGTCTGTCTGACTCGGTCTTTGTCACTCCTTGGCGTGGCATTCTTGATGCTGTTGAGATCGAGTGCATTGGTCCGTATCAAAGGCTTGAGTGCGTCGCGCACGCTTTCCAAGACAGTGACAAAAAAGCTGTGACGGTCATCAGACGGCTTGTCGACGGCTTCGCCGGCAGCTGCCAGCTTTTTCGAGAAAGCACTTCGAACAGAGATCACTCTATCGAGTGCAACGTTGAAGTAGTCCGGAACCTCTACGTTGCTGCCTTTGACACCGGCGATGTGAGCAGACAAAGGTATGAAATCCTTGATAGCAAGGGTGTATTTCGGACTAGACGTCTGCTTGTCTGATCCACTCTGCGCAGTATTTCCGGCTTTTCTGGCTTTGCCTTTGAGTCTTTGCGTTTTCTGTTCCGTGGGAGCAGGTGGTTCGAGGGGCTTGTTGTAGCCAAATGACTTGGCTGTAGTCGCGACTACAGAAGGGCGAGATTAGCGCGTGCATCGCTCGTAACTTTAACCGCAACTTACGCCATGATGCCACGACATCCGTATCGTGTTTGTATTGCTGGTAAGTGCTTCGTAGGTTGTTGGCCGCCATTGTAGATATGCTACTGCAACCGCGTCTACTCCAGCCGAACTGACCTCAGTACGTAGGTACTTGGGTATGCAGACTATCCTTTTCTAGTGAATAGAACTTCGGAGGAGATATTTCGAGTGTGTTGTCTTCGCTACCATAGACCGTCAATGGGTGAGACGGCGTTCTGGCGGTGCGCGAAGATATTGCTGGGTCCTTCCCCGCCACGCGTCGCGTCGCGATCGCGACGAATCGCTTTCTGAGGCACGCATCGAAAAAAGCAAGTCCCACCCTCTGACATCTTGCGTTGCAGAGTTTTCTAAGCGCAACCGGTTTTCTGCCCCGTCTATTGCTAATTGATGCAGACTGAAGTGTTGTTTGGGTGTACTCCCAGTGGTAATTTGGTGTTGCGCGCCTGAATGATGGCCGAGCCGTGGAAAACCGCCATGCTAAATCGGGACAAGCTTGAATGACATGCTGTGCGGCACAGCGAGCACCTGCAGCAGTGCAATGCAGCCCATCTCAATCACCCTATACTCCATCAAATTGGTGCATCTAGAGAACGGCTGAGAACAATGGAGGGGCTACCACCGCTTCAATCATCCAGAAGTGAGCGTGCCAAACATCCGCGTTACATACGTCATCATCTAACGCTTCCCAGGCGACAGCACCAGCTCGCTGAGTACTCTGCCCAACGAAATACTACTCCAGGTCTTTTCGGATGTCGATTTGCATCGTTCCATTCGTGTATTGGGCTATATTCCAGATGATCCCCCTCCAAGCTCTCCAGACGAGTATCTCATTTCCGATTTTCGCGCTAATTCTCGCTCGCTACTCAACATTGCGTTGACGTGTAAGAGGTTCACGGTTCTGGCTCGCGAAGTACTGCTCTCTTCGCTCGTGCTCGAGGTCGGCTTCCCAGGAACATTGAATGAGCTTTCCAATTCGGACATCTACGGCCTGATCTGGAGATTGCAAGCACGACCGGAGTGGAAACGATATGTAAAGCAGCTGAGATTATGCTTACCGTCGGAAGATCGTGGTATCATGAATCTCAGTAGGTCAGGTCCAGTAGAGCCTCACGTGAACTATCTCGTCTACGAGAAGGCGTGTGAGATTGTCGCTTCCCTCGACCTACCTGTTTGGTGGAAGACAGGGAAGATTGCAGAACTGAAAGGCAAATTTGCACATGCTTCAGCTTCCGTGTTCTTAGCTCTACTACCAAATATTTCGACCTTGTGCATATTCGATCCAGATTCAAATCTTACGCTTGCTGAGGCGCACTTCCAAGACACGCGCCGTTGGCAGAAGTTTGCTTCCAGGCTACCGACCGCACATGTGCTATCCTATTTGAAGTACGAGAGCCCCTTGCCGCCGCTATTGGGGGGCGGCTTGGAGCACTACCCCAATCTGCACACCCTCGACCTAAGCATCAGACTCCAAGGCCAAATACACTCGCAAATTCGCATGGCATCCGAGCACTACCTCAGCAGCCATCGTGCACAGCCAACGATCCGACATCTCCGTCTAGACTTCGAGGTCAGAACCGTCGGCGTATGGAATACCACTTCTCGAGCGTGTATGACGAACGTTCTCCGCGCCTTTCCCAATATTCAATCACTCGAATACTACGCGGAACCGTCGGACAGTAAGAACCCGTATCGGAGTGTCCGCGCGTTTCCTGCCTATCAGGCAAACATCCAATACTATCCAACCGGGCCGTCTGCTTTCGAGGACGATGTCTACGTGGATGAGCAGTACTGGGATCGAACGATATACGATGCCCGGAGCGAAGTTACCGACTACCAGAATCTTGTCGACGGCATGGTACATTTGCGACCAAACCTCGAAACCCTACAACTACCAGGTGGCTTCTGGACACTACCGGGTGCGATGCGCAAACCACTACCGCGATTCGACCAATTTGCGCAACTCAAGAAACTGGTCATTCCTCAAGCAGCGCTCATATCGATCAAGCTCGACAACATGCGTTTTGACGCCGTCTTTGAAGGCGACTTCGAACTTTCACCGACGCAAGCTCTTCCGACGTCTTTACAGCACCTCAAGATCTTCGACGTTGACTTGGCATTCTTGGAAAGCAGGTGGCTGCAGGATCTCTTTGGCGCGCAGAAGGCCGAGAACCATTGGCCGAGATTGCAGTGTGTAGAGATCTTGATGGGGCCTACAGTCACAGGGTTGTGTCTTGAGGAGTTAAAGGCTAGGCAGAGCGATGCAGAGTTCTGGAAGTCGGTGGATGAAGCGAACTTTGAGGTGGTAGTGGGAAGGGATGAGGAGGGACCGGATGCGTGAGGTGGCTCACGACTGTCATGTACGAGTCGGGAATATGTTTACAGCGGCCTTTGGTCGACGCAACGAGATCATATGTATGCCACGCTGCTTCGAACGAAGGGCAAGGAAGTCGAAGTCGTGGTATGTGGGCTTTAGAAGGAATTGAGATGCACCTGTGAAACTCTCATCATTCGATGTAGGTAACTGAGGAGATCTCGCGCGTGGGATTTAACGAGGAGAGGTTAAGTGGTAAAGTTTAGTGATTCGTATAAACAATATGCAAGTTTATGTATGCACAAAGAAGTCGTGGTATATACAAGACTCCGCCCGACCAAGCGAAGTCCGATCATCCCATCATAAACGCCGCGCTATCATCGTTCAATCCTCATAGGTATCATCTAATCCAAAAGTAATCCCACCCAATAGTATCAAAGCACACTCATTTAGACCTTGGTCTCAAACATGCGGGCCTCAACGTCCTTGCCAGCAAGCACAGAGTCGTTGTCAATAGCACCATCAGTGGTACCAACATGGCTCTCGCTGTAAGCATCGAGCTCGGCACCCTTGACCATGTTGAGGTAGATAGGGTAAGACCAGGCAATCGCGAAGAATATGAGCGGGATGCACATAGCCTTCCGTGTTCCGATGCGGTCAGCAACGTTGCCGAGGATGACGGGGCCAACGGCACCACCGCAGACGGAGGAGACGAGGAAAGAAGCACCGCGCTTGGTGTGGCGTCCGAGACCGCGGAGTGTAAGTGCGAAGATGATGGGGAAGATGCAGGACTCGAAGAAGAGGACGATCATCAGCATGCTGAGACCTCCCCAGTTGGGTCGGGTGGCGCTGCCAGTGTTGGTGCCGATTGCGGCGCTGATGAAGATCATGATCAGGGTCTGGAAAGCGAGGAGGACGTAACGGGGCTTGCCGCCGTAGTACATGAGTCCAGCTGCTGCGAAACGTCCGACGGCGAAAAGTGCTTGGGCGATGGCGTAGAAGTTGGCTCCCTCGTGGTGGCCTTCAGTGACGGAAAGGTCAGGGCGTGCCTCAGCCTATTGATCCAAAGTCAGTAAACGTTTCATATCGTCTGTATACGAATTAAACTTACAAAATAGTTAATAAAATAAGCAGCAACGCCTACTTGACCGGCAACGTAAGAGAACTGAGCAGCGGTACCCCAGAAAAGAGTGTACTGCTTGCGGAGTGGCTTGTCGACGTAGCCGGTAGCAGCGGTGGTCATCTCAGCTTGGTCGGCCATGTCGGAGTCGGTAATCTCAGGAATGGGAGCGAAGTAGAAGACAACAGCGAGGATACCGACGAAGCCAGCAATACCAAGGTATACCCATTGAACAGCCTCGAGAGACTTGCCGTCAGTGCCAACGTTCTTGAAGATGACCTGAGCAGCGAGGACGGGAGCAACGACAGAGCCAACAGCCTGAACGGACTGAGACAGCTCAAGACGGAACTCGGAGTACTTGGGAGGACCGCAGACAGCAATGTAAGGGTTGGCGGAAGTCTCGAGAGTCGACAGACCAGAACCAGCAAGGAACATGGCACCGCAGAAGCCACCGAAGCTTCGCTTGACAGCCGCAGGCCAGAACATGAGAGCACCGACACAGTAGATGGAGAGACCGAGAATGAAGGTGTATCGGTAACCGAACTTGCGGAGGAACCATCCAGAGTATGTCAAAGGACCGATGAAGTAAGCACCGAAGTAAGCAGCCTGGAGACCAGACGACTCTCCACGGGTGATGTCAAGAGCGACCTGGAAGCGAGAGTTGAGGACATCGAGAAGACCGTAGGCGAATCCCCACATGAAGAAGAGGATAGTGACCAAGGTGACGGGAACGATGGATTGGCGGACCGTGAGAGCGGAAGCTCCAGTGACGACACGGTTGTCGACAGACTTGCGGCGAACCTGTTCGTCGACGACTTCAGCGACTGAAGGGCGGCGAGCTTGCTGCTCGTGGACTTGGTCCAGAGTAGGCTCTTGCGAGCCGTTGTTTCCAAAGAAACCCATGGTGATAGTAGGGTAAAGATGAAGATTGGGAACGAAAGTAGATATAGCCCAAGGATCAACAGATGATATGTCTGTAGAGGCGAATCCCAGATAGTGAGAGACGAAGAGCGAGAAGCTGATGCTGTTTCAGTGAAGGGATACAGCGCACACTATATATCCGCTCTCCGCGTCCCCAGATACCCATCTCCATGGTATAGGTCGCGACATGGGGCTGGTGCCATCCAGACTGCAATAGCAGTCGGTAGCCCATTCGGTAGTCCCATGCTGGCGTTGGTTGAGCGCGGCGTATAAGCCGGGGTGTTGGGGTAGAATCTACTGCTAACGCATCGCCCCGTACGCTACACCCCAGTATCCGCAAATTTTCATCGGAGCGCTGCCGTGATGGGCTGGCTCTTCCTCGGCGACTCAGTAGCCTGCATATTTCCCCCGAGAGTATAGCCGGCAAACATCGGATGGTGCGTGTTTGTGTCCAATCACCACGTGCATAAGCATGCACTAACTGCAGCGCATAGACGTTCTTCTCCGAGCGGTCCCACTTAGTCGTTGAGCCTCATGAGACAAATGCCTCGCAGATGGGGCTCGATAGCATCTCCGCGTTGCCAACCCCATGGAGAGACTGTAGCGCAGAAAAAAACTGGAATGCACACAACAGTGGAGTCCCCAACCCGCAAAATGCCCAATTAGCAGCCGCTCCAGCGCCTTCTAGAGGGGCGCATCATCTGCACCCCGCTGTTGATCTCAGCGATCTCGCCTGGTGCTATGTCGTCAGGGTCCTTCGGTGCAGAACCTCTAGAAGGCGTTTTTACAAGCAACGGCAAGCGAGGCTTGTAGGGCCAGCGAGTGAACGACAAGCGATCCAGGAAAGACTCTGGGCGCCACCAAGCCTTCTTTGGGGAATTCATGATCTTGTTTAGCGTTGGTGCGCACCGTCTCTTGGACGCGCAGCCAGTAGCCTCTGGGCTCCCTTGGCATGTTTTAGGCACAATGACATGAGGCCTTGTTGAGGCTCCGACTGCTGGGCCAGGGTGGTCTCGCATGGCCTGAAGCTTGGGGTCTGTGACCTGTTTGCCGCGAGGCTGCATGCTGGGCTGTCCTATGGCTGCGCTGCGATATCGCGATATTCGACTGAAGCATTTGGAAAACCGCTCAACATATGCGGTATTCGTTTAGTACATACCAGCTATGCCTAATAGCTCGGTGGCTTTGCATATGAAAAGATCTTCACATCGAGCTGAGAGTATCGGCAGTGGCTTGCTATATGCTCAATCAGTGCGGATGGAGGTCTTGACCTCTTCGTCAAAAGGTGTAGATCTTGCACTTGCGATATGGATCCGCTATACGCGACAGCCATGACATTCGTCACATGTAGTCAAAAGACATGACGCTCACAACTCAAAGGCCCGTCTGATTCACAGCTGGGCAACCATCAGCCTCCATCTCCCCATCTTTTGCTAGCAACTCTGCCGCATCTCTACCAGGTTCACCATCTTTGCCTTCCGCGGGCACTGTACCCAACCTGCAAGGGTGCCTGCACCACTGGGGTGGAAGCTGGGGTCGACATCTCAACGAGAGCTTCTAGTGTGCTTCTAGCGTGCTTCTCCGCATGCTCTTTCTTCTGCACCACGCGCATGTAAGCTCCAAAATGACGTGTCGCATGTCAGCGCCACTCCGCAAGTACCGTGTAATTGGTCACGCGAGGTGCTGGCGGGAGGTTTGTCGGGAGATCAAAGGCTAGGCGTCGGAGTTGTCTCACGTGAACACTTCTGGGCGCCACGGCGGCCTGGATCACGAAAGTGTCGGTTTTGGCCGTTCTGCTAACGGAGATGGGGTGTAGTGACGGGAACCATGCACTGTGGTGCGCTGGTAGAGGAATATGTCGCCGCACGTAGCCGACTAGTGGGTGCCGCTTTCTGCTCGTCTGGCGGTTGTTGTGATATCGTCAATGCGTCTGGGGTGCCCATGGAGCATGGGCGGAGCGTAGGCGATGCCGAAATCACTCGAATCGTGCGCGCAAAGTGCCGGACACCCGTTTGTTGAAAGCGAAAGCGGAGGTGGAAACAAGCGATTGCCTGTGTTTTGCCCCTCCAAGGACTAGTCTTTCACGCAGTCTTGTGCATAGTGGGATGATGAGTCTGTGCAAGGGTGAAGAGGTCGGAGTATTGCCAGCGAAAGCGCCTATTACCTTTACGCGCCCACTCCGTTATCTACTCCATGCGTCTGAACTTTGAAAGGTGGAGCGTTGCCGAAATGGAGATGGACAGAAGAAGCGCAGCAGGATAGATCAGGCCTCGATGTCTTCACGAAACCTATTTTCCGCCCTTCACAATGTACTCATCTCCCAACGTAAATCCCCCAAGTACGTCTTTTAACCCCTCATCATAGTCAGGCTGCACGTCTCTTCCCTCCTCGTCCAAGTTACCTAGATAGTTCGTAATGTCCCTCCCATCAAACTCTCTTACCTCAAACCCATTTCCCAGAAATGCCCACATGTTTCCTTGTCTGTACTCAATCTCAAAGTCTTCATACCGCGGCGTTTCCATAATCTTGAGAAAGTGAAGGCGCGAGCCGGGCCACATGGTGGCTTGACCATCCGTCTTTCCTTGCTTGAACCAAGAGCGGCAGGGTGACGTCCACGCGGTGCGTTGTAGAAAGAGATCGGCGTGTTGGCGGAATTGCACACAAGGAGCAAGTTTGGGAGTAAGAGACTTGATGTTCTCGACTTGGCATTTTGTAATGGCGGAGAAGATGTAGCGGGTCCATACCTCGATCAGCGGCATGAAAGAACCGTGACCTAGAGGACCATATGGACCACAGAAGGAAAACGTGTTCGGGAAGTTGGGAATACCAACGCTGAGATAGGATGTTACGCCTTCATCTGAACTCCATACGTCGCGCAGATCACGCCCATGAGCTTTGAAGGGGAAACGCGGCAGCCAGGAGGTGTCGAAGCCGGTCGCGCATATGATTACGTCGACTTCGTGGTGGTTGCCTTCTTTGTCCGTGAAACCTGTGGTGGTTATGGAGCCAATGGGGTCGGTAAAGACAGTGGCGTTGGGCGCAACGAGAGCTTCGAGATATCCTGGTGCTGGCGTTGGACGGCGGCATCCGGGATTGAAGTTTTTGGGTATCATCTTCTCGATGAGACGAGAGTCATGATTGAGCTTGTTGCGCATTTCGGTGTCTGCGTATTCACGTGCGAGACGAGCTTCCTCACTGCCTTTGATGATGAATTTGAAGCGCTGGTTGAGTTCGTTCTCAATCTGTTTGCGATACTCCAGGTACTTCTTGGGATTTTCTTCGAGGTATTTGAGCTGTTCTTCACTATCTGCAACATGTCAGCTATTCTGATGATCGTGTAAGAAGTAGCTCGTACACCGGAAGTTTGCACCGTTCTTTCCAGCCCAGGTCTGGGCAAAGCCTGCCGTGATCCATATCGGAGATCGTATCCAGTGATACAGATGCGCGACCTTTTGTTGTATTGACGCGACAATTTGCACACCCGAGCTACCAGCACCGATGACAGCTACACGTTTATTGGAAAGATCGTAGCCTTCTTCATAATTCGCAGAATGCATCAGCTTGCCCTTGAAGTCTTGCAGACCTGGGATCTCTGGCCACTTCCACTTGTTCAAGACACCTCCGGCGTTGACAAAGAACTCGGCACTGTCTTCAAACACGACGTCCTTCTCCAGATCACGAACGCGGAACCGCCATAGACCGGCCGCATCGTCCCACTCCACATGCTCTAAGCGGTGTCGCAGCCTGATATACTTGGCGATGAAGTCATTTTCGCGTTCGATGGACTTCAAATACTCCCAAATCTCCGGCGAATACGAGTAGTAATGCGACCACAGTTTGATTTTCCAAGAGAACTGATAGTTGACCGAAGGGATGTCGCAGGCGCAGCCAGGGTATCGGTTTTCCAACCAAGTGCCGCCAACATCGTGGTTCTTCTCGTAGCATACTATTTCCAGGTTCTCCATCTCTTCCTCGGCCTTTTTGAGAAAGTTCAAAGTCGATGCGCCTGCGCCCATGAGGACAACTTTGACCTTTCTTTTTGTCCCCATGGGCTGCTCGTTGATTCGGTAGCCATGTTGGTCAGTTTCTGGTGGCAGTTGATCCCGGACCTTGACGTTGTCGTCAGCCGCAGTGCCAGCAGCAGCGTATAGGGAACTCGGCGGATCTGACTGTATGCCCATTATGAGATTATTGGCTCGAAAATGTATGAAAAGTGAGCTTGTTCGTAGTACACCGAGGAGCATTCCGGGTCAAACAATAACTGCGCCATGTCATATAGTTGCGCCATAGCCAGACCTCGGAAATAGCAATGTACGGGCGGAGATGGTGACAGCATCGCCAGCAGCACTGCGGGGTAAGACTGAGTTCACAATATCTAGGTACCTTACACAAGCTTCGCATGTGTTTTGACCCGTGAAAGCGTTTTCGAGCCTGCGGTCAGAATTGCTGGTGCATGACAATCTCTAGCAGGCGCGCTCTGGTGACACGGCCATGGGGCTCTTGGGAGATGGCTGCACGCCCAAAGAAGCAGCGCCACCGCTGTGCGCATGCGACATTGTAGTTGGCTGCAAGCATACAATGACTGATCTTAGTCGTGTTTTCCTCCGAGTTGGCGAACACGGGGGCCATAAAGGCTGCAGTGTGCGGAACAATGGTACGAGATGGGGATCAGGCACACGGTAGGGCTCCGCTCCCGGTTGTTCTTGGCTCCGCGATAGTTGGACGGTAATGACAGCAACGCCGCAAACAAGCCATAGCCGTCTTCCCACCACCCTAATACCTGCATCGCCATTGCGGAGTCCTGTGTCTCTCCTCGAATTTCGCAGTTCCATAGCAGCGTCGCCCAGCGGCCCGCACTCCCCGCTACAGCCACGCAAAACACGCTTGACGATCCGCTCGACAGCTGCCACCTACGCACAGGCAGGGCTGCTTCCCGTCCCTCATTCCTGCCCACTGGGATAGTTATCAGCGCCGGCGCATGC